AAACAAATGAGACAACTGGAACACAAGCTGTGTGGAAATCACTTTGTGTCTATAGTTTATCGCTGTTCAACTAAAGGGGATGTGTAAGGAAAGAAAGTTGGATCTGGGCCTTTTGGGGCTTGGCTATGATGCATATAAGGCTGAATAATGCGAATTCTGGGAGATTTTAAAGTTGGTTTTCTTCTTTTTTTTTTTTGCTGCTTTATTTCCCACCTTAGATATATCCAGAATATCATGTCTTCACTTGCCTCAGCTTGTTGGAGAACTTTTTGCATTACTCAAAGAAACTGGCAGTTTTCTTAGCCTTAAATGATGGGGAAGGGCCCTTCACCCTAAAAACCCTTCTCTAAAGCACTATTAATAAAAGTGTAAACACTCTGAACAGGACCACTTCCATTTTCAGATAATCAGGTTTCACTTCGTTGCTATTGCTGATGTCAAACTTATTGTATTACCCAATAGCACCAGAAGCCCCAGCCAAGATCGGGGCCCCATTGTGCTAGGCACCATATGGACATATAGCAAGATACTGTCCTTGACACAAAGAACTTATGATTTAAAACAAGACAAAATGTGGGAGGTGAAACTGAGGCAGACAGACAATGATTGCACAGCCATAGTGGAGTGAGAAATAGAACTGGCAAGCAAAGAATGTTCGCTAGTGTATTAGGTAGATACATGAGGGGGAGAACTAGTGGAGGATTTGGGAATAGAACCCAGGTCTCCTAACTTCCCATCTAGTGCTCCAGCCACTAGACAGCACTGCCTCCCTAAAGCCTCTTCCAGGACTGGGAGGCCCCTGGCTTTCTAATGTTAAGAAAGCATTGATTGAAAGGGGATGTGTGTGTAAAAATCACATTTGTGCATCATACAGAATCAAAAACAGGGCAAACACCCTACTTCTTATCTTGGTTTCCTTTAGAAACATTAAAGTGGCTTAAAGAGGATTAAGCAATCCTTGAATGAGAGGTGCTAATCGAGTGTGTATGTAGTTTCTCTTCATACAGCTTGAAATGTACAAACTCCAGCACCAGAGCTTAATGGTCCATGGTATGTCAGGAGGGTCCCACTGTCTCAAACCCTCCCCTACCCTCACTGTGGCTCCAATACAACTAAATGAGTCTGCACTGAAGGGCCTGTATGCTCACAGGGGGGGTCTCAGGCACCATCACGTCAGCAAGACACCATGTAGGCAGAAGGGGATGGTCTGTGTGGATCCTTTGAAGGCTGGGCCTTAATTAAGGTTCTGTCCATGTGGGTCTCTTTGCGAGATGAGATTAAGACGTTCTGAAATTATTTGAAAAGAACCACACAAGCCCAACCAGATAAAGTTGTGCCTTGGGGAACAGTTTTTATTTGTAGGAATAATCATCGTGCCATGGGGAAGCTGGAAGTACAATACCACACTAAGAAAAATGGTATGAAAAGTACAAAAATAAGGAATCCTATGTACGGCAGTAAATTACTAAAAATAAATATTGTAAACACACAAACAACAGAACAGCTGAAATCTACAGTCAATCATTGCTGCTAATAGCTGAACGATCTTTGGCTTTAAATCAAATCTCCTCCGGCCCCCCAAGGAGCCCATTCTGAAGACCTCATTAAGATGCACTTTTCTTTGTTTCAGGCCAATAAAAAGAGTCCAGACTGTCTCTGGGACTAGCTCACATTTTACAGGAAGTCTGTGAAATACCTTCTGGAGGTGACCCTGTGTTGCAAGATTCATAGTATATTTCAGATAGAGAGAGGTTAACGCTCCATCTTTAATGACTGCTTTAAAGCAATAAGGAATAAGAATTCTTATCTCTTTCATAGCACTCTCCTCCATAGATCTCAAAGTGCTTTGCACAAGGATATGCATTATTATCCCCATTTTACAGATGGGGAAACCGAGGCATAGATATTTTTTTTAAAAGGCCCTAATTTTTAGTGGGATTGAACATCCACAAAGCCAGCTGAGTTCAGTTGGGGTTTTGAAGATATTCAATATATCTGAAAAAAGGTTATGCAGAGAATCAGTGGCAGAGTTGGGACTAGAACGCAGGTTTTCTGAGTCCTACTATCCACTGGACTATGTTGCCTCTGAAATATTCTACTGCAATTTAGAGACTTATTAGATCATGTGTGTTGCTTAAAGGCAGATTTCACTATAATTTGCCCCGGGCCTAGCTCATTCTGCTCTGAGATCTGCATGTTAAGATTCTTCCTACCATGCACAATATTTTACAGTTTGTCAAATAAAAAATCCCATCCAAGGTAACAGCCAAATGAATAATTTGTAAGGTAGAAAGAATGATTCTTTCTCTTATGCCTGGCAACTAACATCAGGGAGAAAATAGGTGCCGGCTTGCTAAAAGATGAATCCCTGCCTTTCTGGAGAAGAAATAAACCTTACATCAAAGAGAACAAAGAAAATGCATCTTAATCGGAACAAAAAATAAGCCACCCTGAAAAGTGTTGCAAAATTTTCTTAGTGGAGGAGTGTTGAGAATCAACGCCTGTCAACATGATCTGATTTTCCTTTCTCATTTTGACACACATGAATATAACATCCCATTGTAATTTCTGGTTTAGAAGTTACAATCCCGCTTTGTTATGTGTCTCAGTTCCATTTCACATTGGCCAGCTTCTGAACCAAGAACAACGTCCTCCTGAAAAAGCTGCATTCACAACCTGCCATCAGCTATAAATTCTTAATACAGTTCTCCTAGCTCCTAAACTGGAAGGAATGGTAAGACAGCAGCGGCTTTCTACATGTACTGATGCTTTCTCTTTCGATACAGAAATGTACACAAACTGTACTCTTAATGCGAACAGAGGAAATATTCTGCATAGACACAACTGAGCCATATGCCGAAGACGTATTTTCAGTTACATGGTCTGGAGATGATCTGTATGTTTCAAGTATAATTTTTGTTTCAGGTGAACTGGGAACACATTGGATTCTGGTTTGTATCGGAGTCAAAGTGGGCATGAAAAGAGGGCAGGAGCCTCTGCTGCAGCTTAAGTCAAGTGTACCCAGTGCATCCCTAAGAAGCTGTACAGGGAGGTACAACAGGCAGTGTTTTTAAGAGAGATGGGCCCTGAACTATCCACCCCGGATCGAAATTTTGAGTAAGCTTGGAGACAGCCTTCGCAACTAGCCCATTGCTCTGTAACTGGGCAAACCCAAAACTCAGATGGGAATTCCCTCTGAACTTTGAGAAAGTTTGGATCTGGCTCCCATAACTTGGTAGCATAGAGATTTTAAAACAATACTTCCCACATGGAAAGGCTTTCCTTTTGCACTCACGAGCTCCCACCTCTTTGAAGATCTCATTTGAACCTACGTTGGGGAGAAATTCCAGGAGCCACATAACTACACACTTGTCAGGACAAGAAAGCTTGAAGATAGTTGTGAGCTCCTGGGAACTTATCCTGCCGCCATTAAGCCTGTTCCATTTGCAAGAGAGCAGGTAGTTGGTGCTGAGCACCTCCTAAAACGTGCCGAGAAGCCCTCCACTCCTCAAGTCAATGGGAATGAAGGGTGCTCAGCAATTCTGGATCTGACCCTCATTCCAAGAGCCTAATGTAGCTTTCATAGAATATCAGGGTTGGAAGGGACCTCAGGAGGTCATCTAGTCCAACCCCCTGCTCAAAGCAGCACCAATCCCCAATTTTTACCCCAGTTCCCTATGTGGCACCCTCAAGGATTAAACTCACAACCCTGGGTTTAGTAGGCCAATGCTCAAACCACTGAGATATATCTCCCCTCCTTCCTTGCTCACCCAATTAAGTGCCATTGACTCCAATAGGACTACTCACCAAGGCCCAGATCCAGCAAAACACTAGCACCTACTTAGCTTGAAGTGCATGAGTAGTCCCATTGACATCATGAGATTGCTACTATGCACCTACTTCAGGGGGCACTACAGGGCCGAGCTCTGCAAAGCACTTAATCTAATGCCCATTTAAAAAAAAAAGAAAAAAAACACGGTGAAAGGACTTCCATTCACTTCAGTGGGCATTGGGATGGTCCCATAAGCAAGGGGTGAAGGACCATGGCTAGGGGCTGGTTCCATCTTGCAACCCCTTATTCATGCACAGTGCCGTAACAAGGGCGAGGTGAGTGAGGCACTTGCCTCGGGGGTGCAAAGTGGGGGGTGCAGCTAAGCCGCGATCAGCGGTGCTTCGGCGGCAGCTCTACCGCCGCCGCTTCTTTGGCGGCAGGTCCCTGAGTCCCTCTCGGAGGGAAGGACCTGCCGCTGAATTGCCGCCACCGCCTAATTCATTCTTCGGCGGCAATTCAGCAGCGGGTCCTTCCCTCCGAGAGGGACTCAGGGACCCGCCGCCGAAGAGCCTGGAGCTGGCCCTTGCCTCGGGTGCAAAAATTCCTTGTTACGGCTCTGTTCGTGCAAGTCAATCCACTCGCGTCAATGCAACTCCTCAGGTGAGAATTAAACCATTTGCACAGTCGTAACCCACTCTACTGCAAGGAAAGGGAGAAGACAACATTGCCAAGCCCTGGAATCAGCAGAACACTTAAACATACCCTTAAGTTTAAGTGTGTGCTTATAACCCCTTAAGTCACGTACCCAAGTGCTTTGCTGAACCAGACCCCAAATCAGCTACAAAGAGGGACTGCCCTAGCACCCACTATGTCATTGATTGCAAAGAAAGCATCTGTGGTAAAAATGAACTCATTCACTACTGGTGAAATATAGTGTATTTCAAAAAGAGGTACACTGCTGGATAATCCCTTGTCTTCAAGTTTATAAATATACCCACCGACTGTAACCCTCTTCACTGTACAGTAGATATAATCAAAGCAAAAATGCCTTGATCAGTAGGCAAATACTAGAAATCCCAGTAAAAGAATAACACACAACTGCTTGGTATTGGATTAGATGGTTTTCTGTTTTTTTTTTTTTAAAAGATAATTTATTTAAATGCATCTAAAGTTTCTAAACTGGATGATACTCTTACATTATTTCTGTACACATCATTTTTGATTTTTCCATTTATTTTATATTGTAATCTTGTAGCTTATAAAAAATATAAGCATTTAAAATGCCAAGAGACACGTGTGGCGTGCTTTAAAATGGCGCTATTGGAATTGACAGCCACATAGAGATTCTTTTGGTAAAGAAGTTACCCCAAGCAGTATAAAAATATACAAAAAAAAACCCCAACCCACACACACACACAAAAATTCTATATCCCTCCAAACTGATGGTCAGTTTGAGGTTTTCACGTGTACATCACCAGACATGTGTTACCTCGTGTTAAATATTTACAAAAAAGTTTATGTGAGTCCTCACGCACCCCCGCACAATTGTGTGTGTGAATTTGCTGGTTTTGGAAACAAGAAATTGCAGAATTTAATCCGTCTGCACGGTTTTCTGTTGGCAAAATTATTAACTCTTTATCATAAAAAGCGAAGTGATGGGGAGAGTTCTGCTGCACAGAGCAAACCTGCTGTTAGCTTTGGGGACGCCAATTTGGAAAACCACGATTTTGATATTTGGGGTCACAAAATTACCCTTATTTCTTTGCCACTGAGCTCCTGTACCCACACACGTGTTTAACTATAAGCAGGTGAGTTCTGCCATCAACGGCAGTGGGTTACTCATGTGCTTCAAGCAAAACACGGTGCCTGTTTGCAGGACTGGGACCGAATCTTGTAAGAAATTCGGACCTGAACCCCAACTCCTGATGAAGTCAACGGTAAAACTCCAGTTGCTTTCAATGGGAGCTGGAGGTGGTGGCGAAGAATAACGTATATTTGCAGAATAAAATGTTTAACCCTTTAGATTAGAAACAGTTAGGGCCTAATCCTGGTTTATTCCAGTGAGTAAACCAAGGACCTGCTCCTTCACTGCTAAAGTCAATGGGAATTTTGTCATTGACTTCAGTGTAAGCAGAATTAGGATCGTGCTTGCCTCAATAGGGGCCTGCTTCCACGAGCAATGATTACTCGTGAGTCAGAACGAGCAGGATCAGACTCTGAACTGACCAATTAATTTGTTCTCTGGCCGCCACTATTTCTTTTAGTGCACTGAATACATGGCCTTCATACTTCCATTTCCCCTGATGATACAAGACCTGAAATGACTGCACCCCTCCCATACAGCTGTCCTCAGAAATTTCAGTCCTTCCACCCTGCTTCCAGACAGTTATTTTAATTAATAATAATAAAGAGCATTCTGCGCTAGTCTCTCAAACCACATTAAAACTAGTCAATAACAATCCCCGTTCATGACTATATACATAAAAGACGTAAGATCTCTCGAAACATAAATACAGTGCATAAATCCAGACGTGACCTATGGGGTTTTTACGAATAAAGATACAGAGCTAGTTCACAGACAAAAATAAAACCAAACTCACATCAATTGAGGGCACAGTGTTGAAACCGTTGTGGAAGAGAAACCATTCACTTCAGCGATGGTTTTTTCTATGCACGCATGCGCCAGTAGGGGTCGCCATTGGCTACACATGTCAAGTACTACATTTAATTGATAGAGGAGAAGCTGGGAAATGGGACTACACCCTGAGTCCCCAAGTATTTCCAGGCACATGCTCTGCTGGTCGAATTAAAGAAGCACCTTTAACTCGATCCAGCAGGTACTTTAATATTACTCACCACTCCATACGGACACTTTGTATCCTTCGGCACAGATTCAAACACACTGATTTAAATGCTGCACCCTGTGCTTTTAAGAGCATTACCATGACTTTCATGGAAATAACACAGCCTTGATCAGGGTAAAAGACTAGTGGAGGTCTTTAACCCAATCTTAAAAGAGGTTTTGCTTTCTAGTGTGCTTATGTTAAGACTTGGACATCTACAAATAGGTATTGTTTACTATCAAAGTGACAATGCAGTGTCTTGATTGCTCTGGCATTATCCTTCTACTGCTACAGAACAAACAAACACCATTGTGGCTGGCGAGGGAGGTTTAGTATTTTAAATAGGCTGCGGTGAAACAAAAAGGGCTTTGACTGGAAACGTAGCTACACGCCCTGACGACACTTTTAGCTTTACTCGAAAGGTAGTTTGATGGCATGCAATAGAACTCCTAAGAAAATAACTTCGAACACACAGCATCTCAGGTCTCAGTGGTGGTATCTCGATAGAACAAGTAAAGCTAAAAATCTGCGTGTTGAGGAGCAGGAGAAGGGGTGTGTGTTGGAGGGTGGGAAGGGGTCTGCTGGTTTTGCTCTGTTAAATCCAAGCCTTCCGAACAACTCCTCTTATCGCTGCCCGGCCTCCCGGATCCGGCACGCCACCGCTGTGATGAGTGCCGCTCCCTTGCCGCTGCCATCTTCTGACTGGAGGAAGGTCACTTCGCACTTCGGGGTCAGCTGCTTCACCGTTTCGTGCATGATGGAAGAGAAGCTGCAGTGGGTGGTGGAGGACAGGAGTGAGTATATCTATGATGCTCCCCATCTCAACCCTAGATTTTGGCCTCAGTTTATTTTAATCTTGGCTAAGAGGATGGTCAGAAGAACAAAGAACTCCCACAATGACCACGTGGATGAATCAACTGTGGGGAATGAACTTGAGACCTCTGGATCTAACCGCATGGTCTCTACTGTGTAAGCTAAAGGAGTAAGGCACCCATAAACCTCTCTACGTGGGCAGCCAATAGATGGAAACAGGGACCCACTCTGTAGTGAGGTGGGTTACATACGACACCATCTAACAGTATAAACTTGGACCTGAGCAGTCAGGCTGTGGACTAGGGAGATCCTCTGGGACACAGTGAGGAACAACACTTCCCAGTCCAGCAGAGAGCCATTCCATGCCACTAGAACAGCCTCAGGGCTATAGCAGTTGGTACCTGCTCTTCGTGAACGAGAACAACCTAGCGGGTCCATATAGCAGCAGCTCCACTGGCCTCCACGCTCCTTCTACCACTTCCCCTGGGTTGGTAGCTGAGGAGGCTGGGTTTAGCTCAGTGAGTCTCCGGCATGATGGACCCAAGGGGGTAAAGCGCCTTTCGTCCCTGACTTTCGAAAAGCTGAACTTTTCAAAATGGCATCCTCAAAGCTGATCTAGCCCATAATGCACTGCACTAACTGCACAAGCCATCCCGGGGCAGAAGAAAGAATGCTTCCTGAGCCCTGCACTGACCCAATTAGCAATGAAAATGTAGACATAGCAACACAGCTATTCACAAACGAATGTCAGTCATAGAAATCCAAGACCAGCTGGATACAGTCTTTAAAGCATGTCTCATGGTCTCAAAAGTAGATCTCCCAGCCCTTTGCTAAGTGACCAAAGACAAGGGTGCTTCTACCCCTTCCATGCAGAACATATTCCATCATCTAATGGATCACAACTTCACACACACCCCCACAACCCACCCCAGGTTTGGCCTATTAATTTCATCCCACTGTTTTAGGGCTGGCTGAGAAATGGTCGCATATTTTTGGCAAAAGATTTAGAACCAAAAATCTCAATTTTACATGGATTTTTTACAATTTTTTCATCTCAATAAAGTAATTTGTTTTGATACAAATTTTTCCCTTTCATTCCTCTCCTTTTTCAGTCCCTTGGGAAAGAGAAAGGGGGAAAAACCAATACCCCAAAAGTGAACATTTTTTCATTTCAATGTGAAGCCAATGTTTGGTTTCCATGGGGAAAAAAAAATACCGAACAATATGAATATTTTTGGATTATCCAAAAAAAGGTGGATGAAAAGTTTTCAACCAGCCCTGGTTCTTATGTCTGCCATTGTAGCCTGCTTGTGACTGTCATATCTGCCTGCAACGTCCCCTTTGAACAACCTCTGACCTATGGGGACTCTCACCCAGGGTAACTTACTGAGGATGCAGTTTGTAGAGTGTCCCGTCCACACCAACTGTGACCTTAAGGAAGTCCAGCTTGCGGTTCTCCCGGATTTTATCCACCACCGCTGCCATACCAGCGCCACAGAGCTGAGCAGCACGCCTGGCTACCACAGTGCACACCTCCTTCACAATGATGCTGTCATCACACGTGCTCTCCAGGCCCAGGTGCTGGAGGATGGAGCGGACCTGGAGCAGGGCTAGGCAATCGCTGGAGGAAGGCAGACAGGGCAGGAGAGGCATTAGAGACCTAAAGAAAGCCTTCTGTCAACATCAGAATGCAGACACAGTCTGGACTCAGGATGCCCTTGGAAGTATAGTTCTAATCTAAAGAATGACGTTAATTCATTCGTTCTCGTGTAATAACAGCTTCTGCAGGCCAGGTTCTGCCTTCAGTGCAGCCCCACTGCTTGCACTGGGCGTAACTGATCGGAACTTGGCAAAGAATCCTGTTGATGATGCACAAGGAAGAAGAGATTTTCCAACTCATTCTCCTGCAGCTGAGCTGTCTCCACGCGGCTAAGAGAGTTAGAAGCAACCAGGTCTAGATTTTTAAAGCCTTATGCTTAACAATCTGTCCCACCTTGTATTTAGCTTGGACACTCTGGTTACCACCTCCGGACCTGAGGAAGAACTCCGTGAAGCTCAAAAGCTTGTCCCTTCTGCCCATTCAAATTGGTCCAATAAAAGATAGGATCTCACCTGCCTTGTCTCATTTAGATTTTGAAAAGGTATTTAGGTGATGCTCCACTCAGCGCTGCAACACCTAAGAGACTTAGGAGCCAGGCTCATTTTCAAGAGCACCTAAGTCACTCAAAGTGCCTTTCAAACGTAATGCTTCTATTTGTCACTCACATCAGCAGAGCTGACTGAATACCCAGGAGGCAGATATGTTGGGTAGTAAAGGGGCAGCATTTCCTGTACACTGGGAGTTCCAAAGAGGTCTAAGGAAATTAGATGCCCCAGTCCCACTGGATTTTAATGAGATCTGGGTACCTAAATCCCTTTGGCAACTTTGAAAATCCCTGTTTTTCCACTCAGCAGACCTCACTAGCGTGAACTAAGTTTACATCATAATCAGAGTGGTGATTTCATCATAAAGCCCCTGATTATGAGCGCAGAAGTAGCTCCTCCAGTTAACAATAGCTTGTTAATATCTAGTGCAGCGGGAATAGAGAGAACTCTGCACTCACAGCTTGGTTCATCCTCCACCACCCAAAAAACCCACCCCATGGACAGTGTTCACAGCCAGAGCCCTGGGATTCTATCCAGTTATTTACATGTACACCTAAGAATTTGGAAGAATTCTGGATCTAATGTGACTTGGATGAAATTCCACTGACTTCCTTAGAACTATATTACTAGATCACTCCCGGTTGCTGCTTGCGCTGCAGATGTTTGACTCTCACACTAAAACTCCATAAGGGATTCCAATCAGGAATCAGAGCCTCTTCCTACCCATTCCCACCTCCCCCCAGTGCTTTAATGGAGGACATTTTTTAAAAACGGCAACAATTAAAGATCAACACCGCAGCTGAGCAGGACATGCAAGGCAACATCCGTGAGCAACCACACAACAAACTGGAGCGCGTGCGCGCAAGAAGGGAAATTATTTCAGGAAGGAAACAATGGGTCAGTGATATTACAAAAAAATAGAGATTAACAGTCACTGCTGTATGGGGGACTGGTTTTAATGCAGCATGAAAACCCTCGGCATGACATTGCTCTGCAAGAAGCAGATCCTGCAAGGGACTGAGCGGGGTAAGTGGGAGCTAGAATCCAGCAAGCTGATGAACGCTGAAAACCACAACTGGGCAAAATGTTTTGTCTGACACTGGGTGGGGAGGGAAGGCGTGGGGGGCAAAAATAATACAGATTTGGCAACACACAAACATTTCGCCAATCATTTCAATTAAAAAAAAATCTGAAAAATATTCGTGTTTTGTTCCAAAATGTCCTTTAATTTTATTAAAAACTCAAAAAGTTACAAAAAGGCTTGAAATCAAAACAAATTGTTTAGTTTCAGGTCAAATGAAACTTCGGTCAATGAACCGCATAGTAATTTTTTTTTCAATTTTTCCATTTGCCAGCTGTACTCAAGAGCTTGCTAAATTTCACTGGATATACTTTCCCCAACTCAATTACATCCCATCTGTAGGCAAGGGGCAAGAGTCTTCGTTCATCCACCTTCCCAACTCCTCCCTTCTGCGTCTGGAATCTCACCTCTCAATTTGAGACAGGAACTTGGTCTCGAATATCCCCCTGGTCTTCAGCCTTTCGGATATCCGCCCCCGGAACAGCAGCCCCCTCTTGGTGAAGTCGATCAGGATATTTCGGACAATCTCGCCCAGGTACATCCCGCTGATCATTTTCTCAAACCTGGAGTTGAAAAGGCACAGCTGAGCGTGGGGTAGGAAGGACAGGGTAGGGGGTAAGGCAAAGGACTGGGACTCTGGAGATCTTGGTTCCATGCTCAGCTCTGCCACAGATTCCCTGTGTAATCTCAGGCAAGTCACTGAATCTCCCCCCCAGTACCTCAGTTCCCCACCTGTACAATGAAGATAACAATCCTTCCTATCTCGCAGGGTGCTGGAAGGACAAAACCCATTTACAATTGAGAGGCACTCGCCTGCCCTTCATTGCTGTAGTAGCGAAGTACAAAGACAGCTTCAAATGGGGTGATTTGGAGGTGTCATCACATGGGCTGGACTCTGGCATCTGCATCATCTGAGTGCACTTAGAGGTTACTTAGTGGGAGGAGCCCTGCTCAGCATTAAGAACGTGAAATGCTCAACTGCAGTGGGGTGAGAACCACCTGGCTCTAGGATGGGGTTTGTAGAGGAATTCTAGGCTGCCCTTTAAATACTTTGTGCCTCTCACAGCACTTTCTTTCCAAGGATCGCAAAACAATGGGCTGGATTTTCCTGACACTTAACAAGGGTGCAAATCAGTGTAAACGCCACAGACTTCAGCAGAGTTACTCCTGCTTCGCACCTGGGGGCAAGTGAGAGGAGTATCCGGCCCAGTGAGTTAAATCTGACACCATTCCTGTCAAGTTGTAGCATGATCCCACCATGTTGTGGGTGGAAAACAGAGGCACAGAGAGATGAAAAAGAAACATCCCAAGTTCTAGCCTTGGTTTATTTTAAATTCTGCCGAGGTGATGGTCAGAAAAACAGGGAGGAATCTTTATGATGCTCAGGTACCATGTAATGAAGCTAATGGGACAAATCCTAGCCCCTGGCCGGTAGCTCAGGATGTGCTAGGCCAGGGGTTCTCAAACTGGAGGTCGCGAGGTGATTACATGGGGGGTCGCGAGCTGTCAGCCTCCACCCCAAACCCCACTTTGTCTCGAGCATTTATAATGGTGTTAAATATACAAAAAAGTGTTTTTAATTTATAAGGGAGGGGGGTGTCACACTCAGAGGCTTGCTATGTGAAAGTGGTCACCAGGACAAAAGTTTGAGAACCACTGTGCTAGAGAGATCCCTTAATGCCATGTGTTCTCCAAGAGAGTGTGGAAAGCATGACTGTCCTCAAGGCCCTGCACGCACACACACACACACACACACCTTTGTTTCCCGGCATTGAGAGAAAGTTCGTCCACCGCCACATCGAATTCTGTCCGGAAGTCATCCAAGCAGCCGTTGTCCCCAAACGCCCCCCACTCCATGTTAATGCACATTCTGCCCTCTTCACCCTCCACCAGCTCCACGTTCCTCATCTCCTCCATGTAGCAGGCGTTGCTGCCCGTGCCTGTGGCAGAAGAGCACAGAAAGGTCTAAAGGCTCATGAAACATCTCTTGCTTTGAGGGGAATACAAGGGAAAGCAAAAAAAAGGTTGCAAGATAAGAGCTGTACTACTACTGGTAGTTAATAGAGACTCGTTCAGCTCAAGCAGGGGAGAGACCTATCCCAGACGCTGTCAGTGCCTGGTGTAGCATACAGCCGTGATGTCTATAGTGTGCAGTCACCCATCTATTACTATATATGATCTGTTGCTATCATCTTACCTGCTAAATGCTGGGGCAGGGGTGGGGAACCTTTTTTCTATGATGGGCCATTGACCCACAGGAAAAAACAACAAAAAAAAAATCAATCGCTGGCCACACACAAGAATCATAGAATATCAGGGTTGGAAGGGACCTCAGGAGGTCATCTAGTCCAATCCCCTGCTCAAAAGGATCACAAAACCATGCGCTGGATTTTCCTGCCACTTAACAAGGATGTAAATCAGTGTAAACGCCACAGACTTCAGCAGAGTTACTCCTGATTCGCATCTGGGGGTGAGTGAGAGGCATATCTGGCCCAGTGAGTTAACCCTGACACCATCCCTGTCAAGTTGTAGCATGATCCCACCAAGTAAAAAGCAACTTAAATTTAGTGGGTTTTTTTAGAGACAGAAATATAAAAAACTTTCAACTCACCCACCCAGGGGGGCACGGAGGCTCAGGGCTCCCCCCACAGCGGGGCGAGCCGGCGCTCGCAGCACCAGCCCTGCAGGAAGGCACTGGAACTTGCCACAGGCTGGATGAAATTAAGCAGCAGGCTGAATCCAGCCCATGGGTTGTAGGTTCCCCACCCCGTGCTAAAGCTTGCTAAAAGTCACTTTGGCGGAATCTAAATTTTCCATGAGATCATGTCGTTTTCAACAACAAAATTTTGCCAAGGAGAAAATGGACACTATTTCCATTTTGACATTTTTGGAACAGAATTTTGGTTTTTCTTTTCTAAACTGATTTTATATCATCCAAAAATTGGAAAAAAGTTGACATTGAAAGAAAAAGCCATTTAAATTGACCCCAAGCAATTTTTCTCCAAAATTTTTGTTCCATGGAAATTTTGAAATTCGATGTTTTGTTCCAATTCGGAAGAAAAACAAATTTTGAAATAGCAGAAAATTCCAGTTTACGCTCTGCTGAAGGTCAAATATTCTGCTGACAATTCCACTTAAATCAATGGAGCAGAGGGGGAGGGATAGCTCAGTGGTTTGAGCATTGGCCTGCTAAACCCAGGGTTGTGAGTTCAATCCTTGAGTGGGCCACTTAGGGATCTGGGGCAAAATCAGTACTTGGTCCTGCTAGTGCAGGCAGGGGGCTGGACTCAATGACCTTTCAGGGTCCCTTCCAGTTCTGTGAGATAGGTATAATCTGGTAGATCACTGCCCAGTATGAGTTCAGAGGTGCTAAATTAAGAAGTTTTTTTTGTTAGAAAGTGGGCAATAGGGTTTAGGGGTTTTACCATTACTCTGTGCAGCCCTGTCAATGCAAATTTCACAGTCTTATGTGACACCTGTGTCTACTATCTCTGCAGCATCGCCTACACAATGGCCGTTCTCTTGAGCTTAAACAGCTTGGGAAAAAGCAATGAGGGTTACGTGAGCCTCTCAAGAATGAAGCGAGAAGATCACCCTGATGCATTAGGCCTGTCAAAACATGCCACCCACGAAACCTAAAGTATTCACCAGGAGGAATTCTTTATCAATACCAGCATCCTTTATAGTCTTTCACCATGGAAGGTAATAAAGTCACATCTGCTTGTACCACATCTGAATTTGGTTCCAAATACTCAAGGAAATGAAGCTGGTTGGGGGTGAGGAAGGCAAAATATTTCCACTGACTGCCATTTTTCACTAAAATTTCAAATATTTTAACATTTTTCCAACCATTGGTGGAAAATTCTGATGTGTACTAGATCTCCGGGGAATAGCTAAAAGATACAGGACATGAGGGGAGTACAGAATAGGAACGGGTACGGGGAAAAGAGATTGGTTTGTTATGTAAAGCTTCAGTTCTTACCAACGATGAGCCCGACTTCACAATAAGGATCTTCATAACCACAGGTCATCATGGTGCCTACTGTGTCATTCACCACTGCTACCACATCCAGATCAAACTCCTGGGGAAGAAAGGGCTACCATGCATTATTCTGGAAGAACCAGCACCTTTTATGCTCCCTTTCACTGTTGCAATCAGAGCAACATCCTCAACGTGAATGATGCAGAGCAGAAAGGGCCTGACTTTTTGAAGTCTCCCTATGTAGGTTTAATACAACTCCCATTACTGGAATCAAAGCAACTAAGGGTATGTCTACCCTGCAATTAGACACATGCGGCTGACCCATGCCAGATGACCTGAGCTCAGGCTATTAAAGGGGCTGTTTAATTGCGGTGCAGATGTTCAGGCTCGGGCTGGAGCCCGACTATGGGACCCTCCAACTTTGCAGGTTGGGAGGGTCCCAGAGCTTGGGCTCCAGCCTGATTCAGAACGTCTCGCTGCTATTTTTAGCCTCGTGGCACAGGACATGGACTCAGACTCGCAGACGTGTCTCCTCTCCCCCAGTGTAGACTTACCTTAGATGGCCATATTTAGAACTTAGGACTGTTCATCTACAGAGCCAAGCACTTCAGGAAACTAGGCCTCATCCAAAATACCCCAAACAAGGTAAAACTGCCTGTAACTTGGCTCATTTACATTGGCAGGTTGAAGAGCCGGGATGACCTTGCTACGGTTAGAACCTGCAGCTGTAAGAATTTCCCCTAATGCCCTTTTTCAGAGCATGTTATGTGTCCCCGAATTCACAGCAGCACAGCACACCTAAATCTGCTACCGCTGCCAGCTAGGGGACTTAGTCCAATCGCTCAAGCTGTAGAGACCCTTGCTCTTAGCTCTGAAGGTCCCGTGTCCAACCCTTAGTGAGGAGTAAGATACGACAGTCATTTAGCCATTTTCTGACCTTATGCTCAGCCAAGTAAATTTCCTTTCTAGCTGCAGTGAGAATTCCAAACAGATCTGGATTATCTGAGTGACTAGTTGCAAATTCTCCCTTTCATTCATGCACTGATCGCTCAGATCAGTGGTCCCATGGATATTCACCTCTCTCCTATGAATAGCTTCTTTCAGCAGGTTCACCACATCTTCTCCTTCACAGCCAGTAGCTTTGAACCCTTTAGTCCATTTCAGGAGTATCCCCTTAACAAGAGAACAAAAGATACAATAAACCAGAGGGGAAGAGAGTGCAGAATAGTTAGCAGCAAGCAAAGACTTACAGTCACTTAAGATCTGCTCTGGTAAGAGTGCTCTTTATAGCTAAATCAGTTCACGTACACGGCTAAAGGGGACCCTAGTCAAGATTTAAGATCGACTCGTAATTTTAGGTGCCCAACAGGTGGTAACTTAAAAGGGTCTGATTTTGAGAGTAGGTCTATTAGCCAAGATGATCAGGGACGCAAGCTCATGCTCGGGGTGACCCTAAACCTCTGACTGCCAGAGGCCAGGAAGGGAAGACAGGGGTGGATCACCCCAGCTGTCCTGTTCTGTACAACCCCTCTCTAGGCCTGACCATCACTGCTCTGACCACTAGGTCTGACCACTGCTTGCATCCCGGCCCACGACAGGAAACTAAGGAGAACCAGGGAATAATGTTGTGTTGCACCCTCTTTATCTTCATTTGATCTATTTAGATTGTAAGCTCTTTGGGGCAAGCACCTCTCCTTTGATGTGCCCAGCATTGCTTGTGGGTGGAATTAATAAAAACATACATAGTAATACAATGACATTTAAAAACTAATCACAGACGAGAGTATGACAAGTCACAGGACATCCCTCGATGGAGAGCAACCTGGAAGGGACAGAGATGAGGACCAAGAGAGTACACTTTGTGAAAGACATCCATGGGCAGCTATCCTCTGGTAGGATTTAGCCCCTGGATTGGTGGGGCACAATGAAGATGAGATTAGAATGGTCAGAGAGGTGCAAAGAGAATTTCAATAGTTAGGAAGGTAACTAAGGAGGAGGTTGATGATGGTCCATCTTGGAGCAGAACTGCTGTGCCAACGGTGTTCTGGAAGACTATGGAAGAGGGAACTACAATAGGATGGAAAGGAGTTAGGATATGATCAAAATTTCAGGTCAGGTAGGGTCAAGATAAGGAGAAATGTCTAGAGGTGGCAACAAGTGAGACAGGAAAAAGAAGTTTGAAAACAAGGATGTCATCTTCTAATCCTTCCCTCTGTTTCTGAACAGTGTAGCAATACAGGCTTGTTAGTAGGTACAGATACCAGGTAGCTAGATATAGGTTACCTCATCAAGGTTATTCTGTTGGCAAGGGAAAGAGAAGGTGAATCCCATAGGAAGTGACACGCCCTTCATTCCCATGTATTCCAGGAAGTCCGAAATGCAGTGGACGATGTGATCAAACAGCTGTAGACAGACAACCAGAGGCAGTTGCTTTAATAACTGCAGAAAACTTGATTAAATACCAAGCTACCAGCTAAGTAAGAGTGTGTCTGCTGGTACTAGCGAAGGCCAATGGGCTACCACTTCAACTTAGCTGCATAACCAAGTAGTGAAAAATCCATCTCCATGGAGGTCTTCCTCCTGTAGCTAATTATACAGCGGCACCTATATATATATATTCAGGCATCTCCTAAATTTTGACTAATATTTGTCAAAATTTAGGAGATGCCTGAATCCAGAGTTTGGGGCTGGGTTACCCGTCACCCCATCTGCAATGGGATACAAACCCCACCCCCTCTCAGCCCCAAAGTTATCACCTGAAGTTTCAGGCTTTTCTCCTTCAGCCCCCTTTTCTTTATTTAAAAGATTTGTCTCTGCATTTCATGCACAGGTTAAAAAACAAAACAAAATTCAACATTAATACAGTGTTCTTCACCCAGAGGAATGCAAAAGCACTTTACAAACTTAAGAGACACGTGCCTTATAGTGACAGGTTACAGAAACTCAATCTATTTGGTTTATCCAAGAGATGGTCAAGAAGTGACTTGATTATGGTCTGTAAACACCTACACCCGGGGAAGAGATTTCAGAGAGCAGCCAGTTCTAATCGAGCAGAAAAAGGCAGAACAGGATCTAAGGGTTGGAAGCTGAAGCTAAAACAAATTCAGACTAAAAAAAAAAGTGCTCTTTATTTCTGAACAGTGAGGTTAGCTCACCATTGGAGCAACTGACCCAGGGATGTGGTGCATTTGAAGCCTTTAAATCAACACCTAGTCTCTTTTTAAAAAGTTATGCTATAGCGGAAACAGAAGTTACGGGTTTGATGCAGAAGTTATTAGGCAAGGTTCTTTGGCCCCTGTTATGCAGGAAATCAGACCAGATGATCACAACAGTCCCATCTGGCTTTGAAATTGATCAGCCTGTGAATCTGGGGGCTGATCTGCAATGCCGAGGTCACGCTCCACTCTCGCTGATGCAGTGGGTGTTGAGGAGGCTCAATCTCTCCAAAGAGGTGTTTAGCACCTCACGAGAGGGGGCATCATTTTTGCCCAACACTGAAATGCAGCCAGCTCTGGGATGGAAGCCCACAGCTATTCCACCAGCACAGAGCTACACTAGAATTAAGGTTGTGTTCGCTCAGTTATCCTTATCTAAGGGCTTCTCTACACTATGGGTCTACACCATGGGTCTATGGCATGCTGTAGGAACTTCAGCTCCCCGCTGACTATAAGGTAGGTCAACTGAAGCATCCTTCCATCACCCTATCTACTTCTACTCCCTGAGTTAGGTTGACTTAACTATGGTAGGGTTACCATATCTCGTAAATAAAAAAAGAGGACCCTCCACGGGCCCTGGCCCCGCCCATTTCCCCACCCCTAGCCCCGCCCCAACTCCACCCCTTCCTCACCCTAACTCCGCCCCCTCCTCCCTCCCACTCCCAGCCAGGGGGAAAAGGCTGCCCAGTGCTACCGGCTTCAGGGTTTGCCGGGCAGCCCCAGACCCTGCGCCCCCAGCCGGCGCTTCCCCAGCACAGCTGGAGCCCGGGAGGGGAAGCGCCCAGCCGGGGGCGCAGGGTCTGGAGGCTGCCTGGCAAACCGTGAAGCCAGTAGCGCTCGGGCTTTGGGCAG